GGTCCAAAAAGGGTCCAATGGGTCCAATGCTAAAATATCGGTTTCAAATAGGCCTCTCCTAGAGGGATAGGATTTTCCGTCAAAAATTCTAACGAGCGTATCAGCATGCCTCCTGGGCGCGCATGGAAATGTTGTCCAAAAAATGTCTGACCTAGTGAGTATTCGAACCCATGAACTAAAGCATCGACTTCCGGTAGGTCGACGCCTTAGCCCACGTTCCCACTGTGACATTTTATTATGTCTATTTACCATTATGCAACTTGTCACTCTGCTTTAAGGTGGGCTAATACCCCTTGATAGTGCAGATACCCCATGTCAGATAACTTACAGAAGACCTTAGCTCGCGCGGATGATCGGCTACGACACATGACTTATCCCCTCACAGAAATCTCTGTGGCGGTGTAACCCGAAAAAGCTGGAGAGGCACGCACACATGGTCCCCTTGCGCATGCCGGCTACCTCGCGGTCCCGGGCGGCGGCGGCGGGAACGGCGGCGGGAACGGCGGCGGGCTGCGGCGGGCGGCGGCGGGCGGCGGCGGGCGGCGGCGGCGGCGGGCGGCGGGCGACGGCGGGTGGGTGACGGCGGGCACGGTGGGTCCCGCGACGCAACGAGGCGATGTAGTGCATGATTCAGGTTAGGCACTCAAAAGAGACTCTTTGAATAAAATTAGGTTTGTGTTGGACGCTTAAAAGACACCCTTCCAAAAGTTAGGTTTAGGTTAGGCACCCAAAAGATACCCTCTTTTCCGCTCAGGGTGTCCCCCAGCCAATTTTCGCAAACCGTCAGAATGCGACCTCTTTTGAAAAATTAGGTTTAGGTTAGACGCTCAAAAGACACCCTTTTCCAAAAATTAGGTTTGGGTTACACACCCATAAGACACCCTTCTAAAAAATTAGGTTTAAGTTAGACGCTCAAAAGACACCCTTCCAAAAAATTTAGGTTTAAGTTAGGCACTCAAAAAGTTAGGTTACACACCCATAAGATACACTTCCAAAAAATTTAGGTGGGAGTTTGTCGCCCTTTCAAACAACTCACATAAAAAAAGGTTTATGTTACACACTCAAAAGACAGCCTTCAAAAAATAGGTTTATGTTACACACTCAAAAGGCAGCCTTCAAAAATTAGGTTTGGGTTGGACACCCATAAGACACCATTTTAAAACAAGCAGGCCCGCCCTTCCGCCAAACGAAGTTGCCAGCTTCGCTTCGCTGCGCCGGCAACTCCGTTCGGCAGGGGCCGGGCCTGCTTGGCCTGCCGGCGGCGATGGTCGG